TCCATCTTTGAGATTCTGCAAAAAAAAAATTACTAAATGTACCTGTAGCTTTTATTAATTAAAAAAGTTCACATTAAGTATTCAAAAAAGTGAAAAAACAAATAACTGTATTTTTATTTTTTTAATTGAAAATGATAAAAAATCAAAACAAATAGATGTAAATACAATATCGCGCACATATATAATAAGAAAACTCCCATCTTTAGTAAAAAATGTAAATATGTTTTGAAGAATAAAGAATACAGATGATGATGGTCAGAGATTTTTAAAAAAAATTTACCAATTTTTTTCTCATTTTACTTTATTATCGCCTTTTTATGACTTTTCTCATCGCTGATCTTGTTGAAGAATATTGCAGAACAACAAACACAATCATGAATTTTTGAAAATGTTAATTTGTTTTGCATCATAAGACCAATAATTTAAGCTTTAAAAACCAGCGAACTAATATATATAAGAAAGAGAAGAGTAGTTCATGAGCCTTTAAGGCATATCATAAATTTAATGAATATCTCCTAATTCTCTCCATTCTCCTTTTTCTGATCTCTAAATATTTTGCCATTTTTTTTTAACTTTTTTCAATTTTGGTTAAATCATTAAATGGTTAAATGCATTGTTTGTTGAATATGAAAACAATTTTAAAACGAAAAGAGAATCGAATGGATATAAACAAAGGAGAAGACTTTACATAAATATAGCCAAGGGATGACAACATATTAAAATACTTGAATAAGATTATTAAAAACTATCAATTAGTTATTTTATGTTTCTAAATTTAAATTTATTTTCTGGAATAAGAATGATTGTACTTGGTGTTAAAGTTCAAACATAATTTTTTTCCATCAATTGGGAAATATTTTGGGCATCGTATGTCTTCATTTTGCTTGAATTTATGATAAATAATAGAACTTAGAGGTAATAAAGAGGAAACATGATATGAAAATCATCAACATTATTTGATTATGTCGATATGTCATCACATTATACTCTTGTGATTTTGGTATTGTTTCCACATCCATAAACACCATGATTCACATTTAAAATTGAATAAAGAATCTCTTACTGATTTTTCCTCCGGACTACATTGTTTAAAAACCACAGCAAAATGCACACTGAATAAATTGTTCATTATTAGCCGATTGTATGAATTATTTTGTCCCTTTATTTGTATCCCCTTTACGAGGAAGCGATAATTAAAAGTGAATATGCGAATTAAAAGAATTTCATATCATTCATCAATTTCATTACCTCAGTTATATTCTAGTAATCAAGATGAATTTGTTGGATATTAGTGAACCAAGAAAAAAATAGTTTTTTCATGACAATGTGTTAGAGTGTTGGCCAACCAACCCTAACGACCTTGATTCAATCCCAGGGAATGTCTAGTTGAATAAGGGTGTTTTTGCAGTTTGTATGATTTGAGACGTGCAAATTGTGGCTAGGTATTTTTCATTAATATACCCTGGGTCATGCAATTGTGCAGAGTTACAGGAATCAAAACGTCCGTTGAGGACAAAACTGTCTGGAGGTGATTTTCTGAAGAATCAAATAATTTTGAGAAAGATACTTTTGATTTCCTTTTTGTTCTTCAACTTCTTGTTGTTTTTAAACATAAAAAATTTGTTAGCACAATAAGTGGCATTGCAAGAAGACGATAAAAGTTTAAAAATTCACACAAGAGCCAGTAAAATAAAACTAATTAAAATATTAATGGTTCTAATTTCACGGTTTACGCCAGAGTTGATACGGATTTGCCTTTGACAAAGGCATTGCCTTTGACTTTGCAAGATTTTGCCTTTTGCAAAGGCACAAAAAAGGCACAAGCCTTTTTAGTTGCCTTTGCAAGACACTGCCTTTGCCTTTGACTTTACCTTTGCAAAGGCAGAAAAAATTGCCTTTGCCTTTTTTGTGCCTTTTCAAAAGGCAATGTTTTCTTGCCTCTGCCTAAAAATGCATTTTAAAGACAAATGCCTTTATCTTTGAATTAGCTTTGACTTTCCACTTCAATTTAAATTGTAAAAATTTTTCATACTTATTAACAGAGATCGAAGCCGATTTTTTCGGCTTAACTCAAGTTTTGATTTTTTTGATGTAAAAAAGCCATTTAACACTTATTTCAAGTATTTAAATTAAACTTTACATGTTTTACTATGATTCTGTGTAATATTTTGTCAGCATGTAGCTATAGTGAGCTCAGAATTTCAAATTAGCCAATGTTAAGCCGAAATTTAAGCCGATCGGCTTAAAATCGGCTAACTTGAAATTCTGAGCTTACTATAGCTACATGCTGACAAAATATTACACAGAATTATAGTAAAACATGTAAAGTTCAATTTAAATACTTGAAATAAGTGTTAAATGGCTTTTTTCTATCAAAAAAATCAAAAATTGACTTAAGCCGGAAAAATCGGCTTCGATCTCTGCTTATTAATTTTAAATTTTCATGATAGATAAAACCACTGATTTTAGTTTTGAAGTAGGATATATGTATTTTATATTTAAAAAATTTAAACCAAAAGTTTTCAAACAATTTTCTTTCTTCTGAATCGAGCTCTCACCCTGCAAATTGCCTTTGACCTTGGAAGATTTTGCCTTTTGCAAAGGCACAAAAAAGGCAAAGGCAATTTTTTCTGCCTTTGCAAAGGCAAGGTTAAAGGCAAAGGCAAATCTTTGAAAAGGCAAAAAAAATTGCCTTTGCCTTAAAACTTGCCTTTGGAAAGGTAAAAACCAGTAAACTTTGCCTTTCAAGTGCCTTTGACAAAAGATTTTTTTTGAAACCTTGCCTTTGCATTGCCTTTGAAAGATTTGCCTTTTTCAAAGTCAAAGGCAAGATATCAACTCTGGTTTACGCTCAATTTTTTGCTCAGTCTTGTTCAATTTTCCGTTAAATTTTGGATTAAAGTTGTGACTGCGTCTGAACGCAATAATATTTTGTGGTGAAATTAGTAAATATTTTAAAATAATTAAGTTTCTCGACGAAGAGAAGCACTCTGGGGGATGAGGGATGAGAAGTTTTCCAAACAAAATACCCCTAAATTGGACTTTTAATCCTTAATTTACTAATTTATTTATTATTTTCTCTTGTAATCTTTAATGCTGTTTTATATATATTTTACGATAGCATAAGTATGTATGTAAATTTTCGGTTTAAATTATATTTTTTTTTCAACATGAAAATTTCGTCTGGTAAAAAAAAATAATACGAATTACATTCCTATCTTAATTATTTAAAATACTTCTTTTTTGACTGAATAAATTACTAATATTGACAAATTAAAAGAATTATAGCAGCATCTAGTATCACTTAGTTGATTACATACATGAATCGCTTTCTTATACTTATTGTATTCATATCACATCATGATACATTATTAAAAGGAATTGCGAAACTTTCTTTTTGGGTAAAGCAGGAAATATATCAAAAAAGAAAAATGAAAACTTATCTATTTTTTAAGTCATTTTCCAAAAGAAAAAAAAATTGCAAACTCCATGTTAATAAACAAAAATTTCTAAAGCTAAAGTATTAATAATAACACTTTAGGAACAAATTTAGTATTATCTATCTTAAATTTTTAAATCAGTGTTGCATTCTGGCCATTTGTCTGGATTAGATAAATTCTGAGACAAATAATTTCTTTATATAGATCAAGATAGAAAAAACATTAAACATGTAAATTCGATGTAAATGTAGAAAATTTTGCTTTTTCTCTACATGTAACCTGTCAATTTTCTACATCTACATCGAATCTACATGTAGAACAGATCTTTATGAAGAAATTTTCTTATTTAGACAAAATCTATTAGAGAATCTACATCCTCTGCTAGTATAGACATTTACATTTGCGGTACTGTTTTAAAGTAAACAAAAGTTTTTTTTTTCTTATTCAAAATAGACAGAAAATAGAATTCATTAATTTTCCCAAATTTTTCATTATTAACTTCAACTTGTTCTGAGCACTTCACGATAAAAAGTTTGTGTTAATGAAGAAGTTTAACCTGCCTTGAAACAAACAATCGAGTCTGGTACCGTGAATTATTTTTATATGCTTCATGTGAAAAATGATAAAGCAAATTTATTATTTCCCACTTTGTGTAAGACGAAGAAGGTCAACTTGGACAAGATATTGAAGTAGCTGTACGAAAAAAAGCAATTCTGTTAAATACTTAAGTGGGGAAAAATTTATTTAAGAAACTTGAAAAAGTAAGGTAAATTAAAACTTACCAAACAAGGTTAGTTAAATATCAATAAATCTTTTCATCATAATCATCAGCTTCATCGCTCGTTATTTATATCAGAAATAATAAAGTCTATAAACATTTTTAAAATTCTAATTTCATTCTCCTTCGATTGTATATTTTCTTATAATATTCGCAAGATTTAATGGCCCGCATCTTTCTATTCATTATGTGTCAATCATCCGTGTGATGTTTTTTAAACATTCGACAGGCTGATAATGCAACAACGTGTTCATGTGAAAAACGGATATCTCATTTAAGGGTTAATTAAAATTCAAATTTTAAAACACATCCAGGACGATTTTTATAATGTAGAAAAATTGATAATTTTGAATGTGTTTTTCATATGAAATAAAAAATTATTAAATTTAGTAAAACAACCTTGTTTTAAGGCTTCTAACTACTCGATACTGGAAATCACGATAAAACTTAACATTTGAAACAAACCCGAGCTATCTACGACTCCTACGACTATATGTTTAATTGATGAGATCTTCACTCTCAGTTGAGTATCCAGTTGGAAAAAAGTTTTTAAAAATGTGCTAAAATAGAGTTTTTTTTTAAAATAATGAATTTTAAAATTTGAATCATTTTATGATTTTTTTTCTTTGTTTAGGTGGTTTTTAAATTTTAAAAATATGATTTTTTTAAAAAAAATAACTGTACAGTTTGTATGACAATGTATGATGAAAGAGAGATGGTAGAGAATCACTCTCCATATTTTTTAAAAATTATAAAAGTATGAAAAAAGCTTTAAAATTTACCTTCCGCATAGGCAAAATTATTCCAGGAGTATTAGTTGGTGTGGTCGTTTGTCGAACAGGTACAATGCCGACATTATTTAAGTTTAATGCAGTTAATTGTGATTGCGTCTGATTTGTTATTGGTTGTTGTGGTTGCCCTGCAGTCGGTATTGTCTGTTGACTCAAATTTAAATGAGGATGAGTAACGAAACTTCTCAAAGTCAATGGTGTGAACATTGCTGCAGCAGCTGCAGGATGTAATTGTTGATTCAGCTGTTGATGAATGGCATGAGCTGCATGATTATGATGCATAGCTTGATGCAAAGGATGATGATGTGCTGCTGCAGAGTATGGATGTGATGTCTGTTGATTGTGTGCTTGTGGCGATGTTCCTTGAGATGTGGTCTGTCCTACAGCAGCTGAAGTAATTTGAGGAGGTTGATATCCTGCTGCTGTAGGATTAAACGGCACTGCTAACATTTTTTGCAAAGGTACGCCCCATGGGCCTAAATACCAAGAACCTGGATGATGCTGCATTTTTTATGTTCGTTTGAATATGTTTAACACTTAAAGAATTTGACTTTTAAGAGCTTCTGGTACGAAAAACTTTAATTTTTTTTTAACACATTTATCGTTTTTAATTTCTTTTTATTATTTGTTATGTCATTATTCGTTTCCACTTAATGTCTTTTCAATTTTTTTTTTATAATTTTCTTTATTTCTTGATTTGCACTCAAAAAAACACTATGTGCTTTATCTTTTATCTTTTTAAAAATAAATAGGCATATGTTTTTTACACAGCACTTTTATGAATTATTCTATTTATTAAAAGAAGAAAAAAAAATTATGCAAGAACAAAAAGATGATGAAAAATGTCTGGCGCTTTTCTCATCATTCTCTTCAACTCTGTATATATTAAATTTTTTATTACTAATGCTGATATTACCAAAATATAATTGTATTTATTTTATGCACTTTCGTTGAGTATTTTGCACCGTTACACGATGATAATATATTGTGATTGTTTTCTTGGAAAAATAACAATTTTTAATTATTTCAGCTTATTTGAATGGGTATGGGGAAGGGGGGTCTTAGATTATGTAACAGCTCAAAAATAGGAAAATTTGTTTCATTTTTCATTTTTGTTCTTACGGAACGTAATAAGTATTGTTACCCAATACCCAAATGAACCGCTGAAATTTTGGTGCCGATCCATCTATCTAATTTTTAATCATTTTATATGAATCCACATCATTTGGGCCAAATAGTGAGAAAAAATATTTTGGGTCCCCCAAACTTTTTAAAGGAAAAAAGAGTTCATTCACTTTAGTTGTAAAGTTTTCTACAAAAAATTTTAATGAAAAATTCAAATATACACATGTTTCGCCTACACGAATTATTTTCTTTTAAATTTTTTTGTCACTCTTATCAATTGGCACCTTCAACTTATTATTTTTATCTTTTCGTTTTTTAAAGAAAACAATAACAAAAATTTTTAAATTTTATATAAATTGAATTATCGTGTCAGATATAAAATTGTGTACATTTCTTATTTCGGAAACGGGAGCAGAAAAATAACATTTCCATTTTTTTAAAGACAGAATATAACATTAGTTGCTCAAATTTGAAAGAAGAAAATATATCAATGTGAACTATGAATGATAAAAGAACAAAAAATATCACATATTTTTCGTAAGAACGACTAGAAAAAAAATTCTTTTATCGCTTTAACTCACACAATTTTTTTTTTCCAGAAAGGAACATGAAAAGTAACTATCTTTAATTGAAGTCATTTTGTTGATATATGTTCACTCAAATTGACTTTTTAGTTAAAATACTATCCCTTTAACAATTTTTATTGATATCAATACAAAGTTTTATAAGCATGTACGTCTTTTGTGTACGATACTTCAAATAAAAATCTTACTGGTGCTGTCAGAAATAATCAGCCTTTTGTTTGTTTGCTAAAATTATTTTAAATTCTTCATAAAATGGATACAAAAATTTTGAAATTCAATTTTCAATCCTACTTTCCACCTTCGTAGGGTTTCTGAAAAACGGCTGTTTTCGTTTTTTCTCAAGAAACGGTCGTTAACGGTTTCGTTTTTTTAATGCTATCAAAAGTCTTACTCTGTACATGATTTTTGCGACATAATAAAATTTTGCTTTTTCATATACTTAAGTTCAAATTTTTTTTTTTTTTTTTTTTTTAAAGTTCATTTATTTATATCAAACTTAAAGTTGTGTTATAAATTTATACAAATTAATTATTGCAGAGAGAGAATAAAAAAACAAATTACTTCATATTCAATTTAATTTAATTAGCATCAAAATACAATTCCAAATAGTGCTCTCTCAAACGATTTTTAATAATGCTCAATGAATGAAAAGCCTTTATCTGCTGTGGAAGATTATTGAAATCCGCAAATGCTCGAATGTAAAAATTCTGCGCTCCTTGACTAGTGCGACACATTCTTATTGTGAAATTTCCTCGATTTCTTGTCGAATGATTATGAATATCGCTACTTAATTGTATTTCTAAGGTTCTATATAAAAAAAATCATTTTCTGATACTTATATCTAAATTTTAATGCCCGAAACGTTTATTAGAGACTAAAATATGACATTAATGTTTAAAATGTTAAATTTTCTCCTATTTTCATTTTGTGCACACAGTATTCTCTGTGAAAAAATTAATTCAAACAACCTTAATTAAAACGAAAACGAGTAACAAAGTGCAATTGTTCAAAGTGATGGTAATGGAATATATCATAGCTTATGTTTTACGTAGAAACACATGTAGATGTAAATTCTTATTATTTTTCATTTTAGAGAACGGAAACGGGAAGCATCAAGTGAATAAGCGAGAGAAGAGTGTCATGAAATTACAATTGTAAAAATCGTTGCTTGTATTTTGACCTAAATGCAAGTAATGATGTATAAAATAAACTTTTTTCATTTATCATTTTAATAATCAAAATTAAATTAAATTTTAAACATTTAGACTGTAATTCGTATAAAATTTTCTTTATATATCTATATATATATATATATACATATTCTAGAATTTAGATGAAGCATGAGATTTATTTTTTAATTGCAAATGTCTTGCAAAATCTTAAATTGCAACGTTCTTTAAAGCCTTGAAACTTTTGACTCAAACTTCCATTGAATATTTGTTTGAAAATAAATTTTTAAATCCCTCGAATTTTCACCTTGGTGTGTTAAAATGAATCAACATGTTAAATGAATAAAACTTGTATCAAAGGACGGGTTTACGTATATGGAGAGCGCATTGACCCTGCTTATATCGACGGATAACAAAACTGGGAACATTTTTAGACAAATTCGCTTAGGGGCCATTCACTTATTACGTAACGCTTTTAGGGGAGGGGGGTCTAAGATTTTGTTACGATTCAACAAAATGCAAAAAACTTTTTTTCTAATCTGGAAAAAAACCAATAGATTTACACTTGAATACGGTGTGTAGCAGAAATAGTTTAAAAATTAAAAAAAAACTCAATTTCAAAATAATTTAAAAAAACTTTTGAACACTTCGCACACTAATAGACCTATTCATAACACTTCATGACGAATGGACGGACAAACCGCTGACATTTCTCTTTTTTTCTCGCTTTTAGTTTTTCGTTTTTTCTGTTATACAACCAATTAAGCACTTCTTTGTATCTTGAGAAAACTTTTCTCTCCATTTATACACATTTAAAAACCTAAAGACGTGCTCTTTTCAAAGTCATAACGTGTATATAATTTTTCATTTTCCCAGTTTTTCACGTATTCAAATCTAAAGTTTTTTCATGTGCTCAGCTGACAACTCACTTTATTTTAGTTTTTGTATTATACTTAATCATTTATCATTATTATTTTGAGAATAGTTTTCTAAAGAAGGCAGAATTATAAGAAAACTGTTCAGTGTTGTAATTTTTTAAGTGGTCTGGCCACTTGATTCACAAAAATCTCTTCTACAGTACAAACAATATTGTATAAATTCTTTTCCGCTCTTTTTTTTAAACTTTTGCTCTATTTGCAACAGCAAATGAAAGAGAAATATTTGAAAAATTTAATGAAAAGAAACAAGGTATATAACACAAAGCAAAAAAATTACATAAAAATGTAACTATGAACAGTATTTTCGAGTGTCAAAAAGACGGTCAATATCATGATACGCAAAAGCCATTTTTGTTTAAATTGTTTTGCACACAGAATTGAAGAACGAAAATATATATGAAAAAAAAAAATTGTGTCATTTTTGTATTTTTTCTCATTATCTTTCGCATTATGTGAAGAAGAATATAAAGCAACATGAGGTAAATGGAAGAAGCAACAAAGAATAAATTAAATGAAATTAATTTAATAATGAACAAGTGTTAGTTATTTAATCAAATGGAAACAAAGAGAAATAAAAGTAACATAAAGGTTTCATGATACAGCATTTGACTTCAATTTTGATTTCATCGATTTATTAATTCTTTATTTTTGTTTAAATTGGTTCAAAATCAGATTGCTTCAAATATAATTTTAATCAAGTTGCCTCCACGAAAGAGACATCATTAAATCAAAGATTTCATTTCTGTTTCATATCAAACGAGGAATAAAACGAGCCTTAAATTTTAATTTTATCAAAAAGTGTCCTAATAAACTTGAAAAAATATATAAAGTAGATTAAAATGCGCTCCGTTCATTATTTGGCACCATAAAATTCAAATTTTTGTTTTTTCTTCCATTTCATGACATAAAACATAAAGCAATAATCCTAATTTTATGCCATAATGGAGGCTAACAATAAGAAAGGAAAAAAAATTATGTGTGCTTCTCTATAGAGTCATACTAGTCATCATCGGTACCATGTTGTTCTATTCCGAACATACATAAAATTCTATTTTTCTGTTCCCTCGTCATGTTGGAGAAAAAATTTAAAAAAATAACAAAAATGTATACGGCATAAAATAACATAGCAACATATTGTAGTTGATTTGACTCTTTGTCTTTTTACATTAGATTCATATTTTTAATTTTAGTCTGGTCAATGCTAAATCCTTGGCATGCTCTTTATATGATGTTGTTTCAAAAATTTGGCGAAAATTTTAATAGAGCATTTTATATTTTGCCTAAAGACTATATGTTTTCCATCATTTACTTTTTGAAGATGATTAAATGAATAAAAGTAAAAAAAAAGCAGTATGATAATATAATATGTGATAAGCAGACAACAAGTTTGAAAAAAAAGAAAATTTGGAAACAAAAAAACTAATTTGGAGTTTAAGTGTACATATATTTAGGGATTACACACAAATATCAAGTCAAATGTGATAAAAAAAAATAAAACAATAAAACAAAATATTTGAAACATAAATTGAGGAAAGTGTTTCATACCGTATTAAAGTACACTTTTTTGCAAAAAAAACCAGAGTTCGATGTCGAATCGAGTTGACTTCATTTCTTTCGAATCAAGCCAATTTTTTCCGAGTCGACTCAAGTCGAATCGATTCGAACCTTATCGACTTCGAGCTCAAAATCGA